GTATATAAGTCTAACTGCTATTGCTATTGCTATTGATCATCTCCCCACACTCTTGACCAAGGATCCAGGTCCCTCGTTAGAACCCAAAAGCTGGACTTCTGCTTGGCTTGAGGTCCTGCAAGGAGATGAAAGTTATGGATGAGTGTCTTCTTTGGCAAGATGGCTTGTGCCTAGTCAATCAATGGATGCCAAGAAGCCCATAAGAAGATACAGTCAGCCTTCCCGGACTATTTATCATGATTTGTCTCTTTTGTTTGAGACAAGGAGAAATGCCACCATTACGGAGAAGATACATACGCCGGCTGGCGCATCACCAACCCAATTGTAGGTAGCCTTCCTCTTTAGGACCAGAATTGGGAGCAGAATTTCCATTGCTAAGTGAGGCTGTGGTTAACTCGGTCGCACCCAATTTTAACCCCTTTCCTGCCGCAGTTGTTGACCGAGACGGCAGCAGTGAAGCGAATCATGCGGTCGCTAAGCGAACCCGGCTTCCCCCATTGTGCCTTAGCTTGTCGGGAAACCGTCTGGGAAAGTCGCAAAGCGGTAATCACATGAGACCGGGATACCGCAACTGTCAATCACCAAGCGCTTGAGTGTTGCTCACGGGACCATGGGGACACTGCGGCGGTCATAAGTCCGAGGACTGGTTGAAAGTTACCGTTTTTTTCCCCCAGTGCTGTGGTACCTTTGAACGGTCACGAAATAAATCGTTGGAAGTCAAGGACAACCTGTGTGCCGTGTTTATCCCTGTTTTACATGAGTTCGATTCAGATTTATAATTTACAACTTGCGACGACAAGGGAGCCCGGAATGTATGTCGTTAAGTGAGAAATTTGTTCAGCGGGTTTCGTCCCATTTTACGACCTTTACGACTGCCACGTTTGTAACTCAGCAACAACAGCGCGGAAAAAAAGTGACTTGGGACCATTTTTTCACACTTATGTGATTTATATTAGGACGTTGGACAGCTGATTCATATTTATGACTGTTGCACAGAGGTGGGTCGCCAATTTTTTTTAACTACTGGTTCGGGTGCGGTTGCGCCCGTGTGCAACGCTTCCGCGCGGAAGCATCCAGGAGAGTGGGCGGAGCCTCCCATCACCGCTACTACCAGTTCGGCCAATCGAGACCGAACCAGGAACAACCCACCTCTGCTGTTTTGCAACAATTCCCCTTTTGAGACCTTCTGACAAGCAATATCCACGGGAAACCAGGTTTGCTTAACAGCCGTGTGACAAATGCAGTGAGTCCCTTTAAATTGTCGCAAGACAGGTCGTAAAGTGGGGCAGAATTCACTTCACAAATGTCTCGGTGAACAACATAACTCTGGAATTCAATTGTGGGCATAAGTTGAGGACCTGTGCTGGCCATTAAGAGCCCTTCGGACAAGAGGCCTTCTGTTTCCCACTTTAAGCGCTGTTTGCCTTCGGAAATAGATCTGTCAGAAATGGTGTCGGGTCTCCTGCTTGGGCAGGGGGTTGGGCTAGATGACCTACCAGGTCCCTTCCAACTCGGCGATTCTGTTCTGTTCTGACTCCCAGAGAGATGATTGCACAATGCGCTATGCACAAGACATTCAGGCATAGATAGGAGCAGGGCAAGATTTTAGCAAAGAATCTTAACCAGTGGTGGGTTCAGAACGGTTCGGACCGGTTCAGTCGAACCAGCAGCGATCCAGGCCTGCCATGCCCCCAAACTGATTCTGGGCCATGCCCCCAAACTGATTCTCTGATTCTCACCGCCTTCTTGTTTTTTGCTTCAGCGCATGCGCAGAGCAATTTTTATTGCGCTGTGCAAGTTAGTGCAGTGTGCATCAAATGCGCGTGGCACGGCCATGAGTGAACCGGCCATAGTGACTGCCGGAACCAACCCCTGATCTAAACCCGAAGGAATTTGGGCCGGTGCCCTAGACAGAAGCTGAACAGGAATAGATTGACAGTTCTTCAAATTCCTGGACTCCGGAAGCTTGCATTGATCCTGCTTCCAAAAGCGGAGTAAACAGACTTGAAGAAATGCCCTCTCTTCCCCTGCAGGAACTTGAAACCTTGAGGTTTCTGCTAGGGCAGGGGAAGTCCTTGAATTACAACCATAAAAACATCCGTGGGCTTCCAAGCGAAAATTGGCGCAGGCGCTGCGGAACAGTACACTTCTCTCATGTTGCGTCTTAGCAGGTGTAGCCGTCCCATATTATCGAGGAGTCGTCATACGACCCACATCTGGGGCCAGGAGTTCCACTGCTAAACAAGGTCGCTGTGAAGTGAGTCACAACCCGATTCTACAATCTCTTTCTGTCATGGATGTTTAATCTGAATAGAGCTGGAAGGGACCTTGGAGGTCTTCTAGTCCAACCCCCTGCCCAAGCAGGAGACCCTAGACCATTTCAATCAATCAATTAATCAATCAATCAGAACAGATCTGGAAGGGACCTTAGAGGTCTTCTAGTCCAACCCCCTGCTCAAGCAGGAGACCCAAGACCATTTCAACCAATCAATCAAACAATCAGAACAGATCTGGAAGGGACCTTAG